TCCATCACCAGCTTCCGTAGGTAAAGCCAGACTCGTCCTTATCTTCTCTGCCCGCTCTCTGCCATCTGAGGGATTTGCAAGCAGAGCAGGCAGCCTATCATTTTATCTATATGCATTTCAGCGAATGTCTGATTTTCTTCAATACAATATGGCGCCACATCACACCTAAAGCATCTAAGTGACTTGTCAATATCATTAAATATCCAGCATGCTTCCATTTCCGGCATCTCATTTATGTTTTACAGCTCACTTGAATTGGGAGCTAAGTTACAGCCACAAGTTGCAAACGGTTCCCCGGAAAGCCTCACGTCTGTTTAATACCCGTGGCGAGTTCCTGTCCCCTGGGTTGGTATTAGGAGGAAGATACAGCAGACTCGGGCTGATTTGGGTTGTTATTCTCACCACTGTGTGGCAGGAGTCATATCTGCACCAGGAATTTCACTGAGCAGTATGGCCACCAGTGAGTGACTCCTGGAAATATGGGAATAAATGAAGATGCAATGATCGACCTGCCCCATGCACAGGACAAACTCTCTCCTTGGAATTTTTTGCATATGCTTAAAACATGCAAAAATACTTTATGTTTGCATGCAGTGTGGAATCGAACTTCAGGCTTACAGAACTAGAAGTTCGTTCTTTTCCCATCTGTGAAACATACGTCTGGCAAGTCATGTGCATTCAAGAAAATTTGTTGCACGTAGGATTATCTGCCACATTGAAGAAAGTTCAACCTTTCTACTCCTGGCCTCCGGATACCACCAGCACCCCCACCAAGTCTGTGTCCTCTCTGAATGCTCCTCTCTTTTAAATTTTTTTTTTGGGGGGTCACACCTGGCGACCCACAGGGATTACTCCTGGCTCTGCACTCAGGAATCACCCCTGGCAGTGCTCAGGATGCTGGGAATCGAACCTGGGTTGGCCGCATGCAAGGCAAATGCCCTACCCGCTGTGCTGTTGCTCCAGCCCCTCTTTTAAAATTTTTTTTTAATTTTTTATTTTTTATTATTGAATCACCACGAGATACAGTTACAAGCTTTCATGTTTGAGTTACAATCATGCAATGATCAAACACCCATCCCCTTCCACCAGTGCATATTCTCTGGTGGAGAATTGTCCTGTGTGAAAATATCCTGTGTGAATTCAAAATTATTGAATTATTCACACCAAGATTTCCTCAGTTGTCAGAACTTTGTTTCTCCAAACCATCTTGGAATTGTGAATAGGGTCTCTGATAAAAACAAATGAGGTCATAATAACTTCATGCTAATGTAAGACATTTTTAACAACTAGGAAGCTATTTTGACAAGTAGGATTGGGAAAGGAACAGATGGAGGAAAATACTATAACTCTAGTTTTCTTTTCCTAAGGTTAATTAAAATATAGTTTGGTAAATTTTAGTTCTATATTTACACACAAGGCTTATAAGGAATCGTGCTTTATCTCTATCATCACTGTGAAGAAAATGTCATCAACTATTTAGTCTCTTGCTTAATTGCCTCTTACTCTGATATACTTCTTGTCTTTTTTATTCAAATTTACTTTGTTTATTGTCCTTTGCTTTTAAGTACTGTTCAATTCCTAGCAGGTAGTCATTTTCAAATTTAACTTGAAAATGCAATTTCCTAAGGCAGGAATTGTTTATCCATAATACTTAGCCATTGTTGTTTTATGGAATAGAGGCTCAGTTAAATGTGATATGCTCTACTCTGTCCATAATTATCAGGACCAATGTTTCTTTATCACTGCATACAATGATGTACTTTCACTTGTGTTAATTTTATTCCCACCACCATTTTCATGACACAGTGTGGGCCTTTTTACTTAGACTCCAATCTGAATTAAATGAATTTTTCAAAAACCTGCTGTTGGCATACCTAAAAAATTTAGATATCGAGACTTTGATTTCACTCTTTCTATCAATATGTTTCTTGTTGTCTTAAAACTGCATTTCCTGTTCTTGTGGATTCCCATTTTTGTGTTCAAATGTTCAGAGGTATTTGTAAAGAAAACCCATTATAATTCCTACCTCTTGATCCTCAGAAATCCAAAATAGGGCAGCAAACATTTCAGTGGCAAAGATGGTCTTATGGGAGACGTAGCTTACCCATCAGCAAGCTAGATTATTCCGTGTCTGCAAAGTGCCAGGCAGCTACCTTACCCACAGAGTGGTGGGTCAGTGTGGAGCTCTGTAACTATGGAGACGTTCCATCAGAGTGTTCTACTGGGCGTTCGCCAGGCCTAAAGGTTGCAGTCACAAAGGTAGTGCTACTGGGTAACTGTCCTTCTTGAACAGCTTCTGGTGATGGCTTCACCCATTCATCTTGATTTCGCCAAAATCCCTCTCCAGTATCTGGGTTGGCCAGTGAGTACTTAAAACACTGATGTTAGAATCCTTGGCTCCAAACAACATGGTAAAGAACCTAAATCTGGCAGATACTTTAACAGGTAGTCAGCCGACCAGGTGCCACGTAAAACAAAAACTCTGCCTTGACTCTTTGCTGTCCTCATTGCCCACTGTCATGATTTATTTCGCCAGGAAAGAAAAGTGACTCTCTTCTAGCTCAGATGAAAGAAATGCAAGCCAGCCCGGGAACAGTGGAGACCCTAAAGAGAGAAAGCTATGACCCAGCAGAAGAAGGGAGGAACCAGACCCAGTAAGATTGATAAGCTCATGAGGAGGGGCTGAGTTTGAGAGGAAAGTGGTGGAACTTGGCCTCCTGTTCCAAAGTCTGAAGTGGTTTGAACTAGAATGTTTTCCACTCATTTTCTGGAATTCAGGAACTGTCCAACTCTCCCTCCTGGTTTTATACTAGAAAGCCCACCTTAGACAGATCTCCGTCATCTCATGGCTGTCAGACATTCCAGACCTCCCACCTAACACAGCTTCCACACTCGGTACCCAAGGGCCCTTTCACTGACCCAAAGACAGAGAACTGCTCAAGGGTGACCTTTTCTGGCTCACTCTTCAAGCCTGTGTTCCCCCTTGAACATTTATCTTGATTGTTTGTCTCTCTGTCTCTTTGCTACCTCCTTCCACTATGAAGCGACCCGTGTTCTCTTTTAAACACGTTTTCCTCTCTTTGTCTCATCTCATGTATAAGTAAATTTTTATTTTGTTCAATAAAAACTATCTTGCATCACTAATTTTTTTTCCATTTTGGCAATATCTATGAGGAGGTTAAATATGTTTGGGCTGCTAATGTTACTCATTCTATTCACTAAAGCATTGGTTTTCCCCTGTTTTCTTTTAAATGACTGCTAGCATTGAATATGTACCCTATAGTGAATGAATGTTATTCTGGACCTAATAAGCTTGCATTAACCATCTCTAAAATATTTTCTCATAGAGGTCAGCTGAGGAGTTATTGTTGGGCTTGCCAGTGTAGCACCTCCCAAAATAACACTGAAGTCCTGGAGTATAGTTTTTGCATCTTCCCCTGGCTTAGTGCAAATCAACTACAAAGGAAACAAATGCCAAAGAGGCACTTGGAAAATTCCACATGGGAAAAAGAGCATGATCTAAACACTAGTGTGAGTCTTCTCCATTCCCAAAGGAGATTTGGTGGGTAGTGAGTTCAGGCCTCCGACAAGCTGAATCACACAGCGATTTGAGATGTTTCAAGTCTTCCAAAGGTGTGCCCAATATTTTAAATGTTCTCTTCAATGACAGAGATCTAGACGCCAATATAAACAACAAAAATATACATGCCACATTTCTTCGATTTCAATATTTGTGAAGATTTTGAGAACTTTCTATAGAATCAAATTTATTTGGAAATATCATTATTGTTTTACTGGAGAAAGAAGGCCGGGGGAGAAACCCGTGAAGTCTATAAAAGGAACATGTTGAAAATCTATTGCGTTTATGAGTAATGAAACCCAGATGGAAGGGTTTGGAAGGGGAAAGTGCATTTCCTGCTGATTCTAGCCCTTGTAAGAGAGAAATCAGAGACTCTGGCCCAGACTCGGGGCGGGGCAGAGACGAAAGGGCTGTGGCATGATTGTTGGCCCTTGGGTGTCCTTTCCCACCCCCACCTTGGTCCTTACCTCATATTCTAGGCCAAGTCTTCATGCACTGGAACTTGCCATGTGAACAGAATGGCTAGCATCTGAGCTTACTGAGTAGGGGGTTTAAAGCCGGTGCCATTTGTTTCTGTAAAATTCCCTGTGCCTTGGATAGTACAGACAATTTGACAAAACCAAACATAGAAGTCTGTTTTGAGCACAAAGGTTTCCAGATGTATTTATTTCTTTATTTATTTGGTTTGGGGGCTACACTTGGCAATGAGCAGGGCTTACTCCTGGCTCTACACCCAGGAATTACTCCTGGCAGTGCTTGGAAGACCGAATGGGATCCCAGGGATCAAACTTGGGTCTTCCACGAGCAAGTCAATCTCCCTACCCACTGTGCTCTAACTTGAGCCCTGCCAGATGTATTATCTCTGATAAAGGAATTTACCAGCTCCAAAGCAAAATGTCAACACCTCTTGATAAACTGAGATGGAAGATTAGGAAATTCCAGATATTTGTTCTGTTGTGGAAACCTTAGAGAGAAGTAAACTGGGAAACAGAAATACAGATAACTTTAAGAACTTTAGAGAAACTCTGGGAACCAGAGAGATCAGAACCAACACAGTGATGTTCATAGAAAGATTTATTTAGTTGCTCGGGTCTGGAGAGACCACTGTGGGTTAGACGTTATTCTCACTCTCTTTCATGGAAAGGGGTCATGGATTAGGGAGGGGCCAGGTAAGGGGTCTCAGTAGAACAAGGAAATGGGCAACTGGGCTCTGGGAAGAAGCAGATAGAGCAGAGGTGAGGGGGTAGTTCCAGGGAGACGTATGGGGCCCACTAGGGAACATTTATCAGAGTTACTTATTTCAGGTCTGAAACAGCATCAAGAGCTGCCCTGCAGGTGGATTCCTGAGCTCTGGGGCTGGGTCTTGGTCAGCCAATGGCTCCATGGCCAAGTCCTGCAGAGGTGCAGGAATCCCCAGGGAATGGAGCAAATGGAGAGGGTGTTTGAGGAAGACTTCAAGGTGGTGTGGGTACGGGAGTGTGAACCCACAGGAGACTGATGTCGCTCACTCAGGGAGCCAAGGTGGCCATCCAGAGGCCAGGACAACGGCCTGGGATGCAGGGGCCATGGCAGAGCAGGTCAAGAACTGAGATGGGTAAGGCGGTTCAAAGGAGAAACTGGCTGCCTGAGCAGAGGAAAGGGTGCGAAGGCAGGAGAACAACATTCACTTTGTATGTTAAAATTCTACTATAACAGGGACTGGAGTGATAGTAAAGTGGGGAGGGCTTTTGCCTTGCACCCAGCTGACCTGGGTTCAATCCCCGGCATTCCATATGGTCCCCAAGCACTGCCAGGAGTAATTCCTGAGTGCAGAGCCAGGAATAACCCCTGAGCATTGCCGGGTGTGACCCCCAAAATATATATCTGGAGAATAACTTTCTTCTCCATCTTTTCTGCCATTCATTTGACACCCACACACACAACACATTGGTGTGTTTTGATAGTTATTAATTTGCAGAATTCATTTGGCAGCAGGCAGAATCTATAAAGCACAGGAAAATGTGTCAAGCAGCAGTTCTGGACAAGAAGATGTAATAAACAATTATATCTTAAACAAGGACTACTGCCTTGTATGTTGCGGAAAAGGGGAGATCTAATGAATCTTCACAGTGGCCTTCAGATTGTTTGCAGATGCCCTGTTGAGAACAGAAACTGCATTCGAAGGCTGGGAGGAAAGGCTAAACCAGGTGGGCGTCTTCACGGCAACTGTCATTTCCTGCCTTGACATTTTTTTTTTCAAAACCATTGACGAAAATTTGAATTCTAAGTAGAAAAAGGATGAGGTTGTGGTAGTTAGGCAGGTAAAAGGGCATGGGAGGTGTTCGATGTCTCGGCGCGTTAGAGAGTGTGCCTTTTGAGGAGCAGAGCTCGGGAGCACTGGGCTGTGAGCATCCTGCGGGCATTCGACTCTGCTTACGGTCCTCACTCTTGTACACAGACAGGACCAAGTCCGCGACCAGTGCGTAGGGAGACAGCAGTCTTCGGTGTTTCGCCTTCCCAAGAAACAGGATCTGACAGCTGCCACACGGTCCTTTTCAAGCAAGTACTCCTTAGCGACACTGCTCAGCCATCTGTCCGCTAGCTCTCTGAAGGTCAGTTCAATTCCCACATCAGAGGTTACAAACCTGATTGCAATGAGCTGGATCCGCTCAGATAACCACACAGGTAAGCGATGCACACAGCAAGTCTTTTAAGCAATATATATATGACAAACGCCCGGTAGCACAGCGGTAGGGCATTTGCCTTGCAAGCCGCCGGCCTGGCTGAGCTGGGTTCGATTTCTCTGCCCCTCTCGGAGAGCTGGACAAGCTACTGAGAGTATTTCGCTCGCACGGCAAAGCCTGGCAAGCTAGCCGTGATGTATTCGATATGCCAAACACAGTAACAACAAGTCTCACAATGGAGACGTTACTGGGCCCGCTCGAGCAAATCAATGAACAACGGGAGGACAGTGATCCAGTGATCCAGTGATATATATATACATATATATATATGTATTTTAAATTTCTATTTGCTTTGGGTTTGGGGCCACATCCTGTGATGCTTGGGGTTACTTCCTGACTCTGCACTCTGGAATTATTTCTGCTGATGCCTACGAGACGATTCAGGATGCCAAAGATCAAACCCAGGTTCACCGCATGCAAGGAAAAAACCCTGCCCTATGGCACTGGCCTCCTTTTTATGAATATTTTAAGGGGCTGACAAAAAGTAGGGCAAGAAGGGTGTTTGCCTTGCACATAGCCAACCCAGATTCCATCCCCAGCATCCCATATGAGCCCCCAAAACGGCCAAGAGTAATCACTGAGCACAGAGCTAGGAGTAAGCCCTGAGCACTGCTGGCGTGTGCCCCTCCCCACCAAAATAATATTCTTAAATAATATTTCAAAAAACGTTTGTGGCCCTAGAGAATAGAACAATGTTTTGTTACTTGTCACCAATAAGACTAATTTCTTGATGTGGTGTGCAAGGCAACTTAACTATGCTCACTGGTGAGCCAACCCAGCCTTGCAGTCCTATTCAGGTCATAGAATGTAGGTGGTCAAATGCACGATACATCATCTCCATAATTCAGATACCTGGAGTTAACAGAATGGAGGATGGGCTAACTTTGAAGATGCTCTGGAGTTGCTGGAGATATAGTAGAGAAGGCAGAGGGCAGGGTATTTGCCTTGCATATGGGCTGGAGCGATAGCACAGCGGTAGGGCGTTTGCCTTGCACGCAGCCAACATGGCCGACCCGAGTTCGATTCCTCCGCCCCTCTCGGAGAGCCCGGCAAGCTACCGAGAGTATCTCGCCCACATAGCAGAGCCTGGCAAGCTCCCCGTGACGTATTCGATATGCCAGACACAGTAACAAGAAAAGTCTCCAGTGGAGATGTTACTGGGCCCGCTCGAGCAAATCAATGGTCAACGGGAGGGCCTTTACCTTTTACCTTACCTTTATGGTCAACCTGGGTTTGATCCCTGGCATCCAATATGGTCCCCCAAGCACCACCAGGAGTACTTCCTGAGTGCAGAGCCAGAAGCAACCCCTGAGCATTGCTGAGTGTGACCCAAACACACACACACACACACACACACACACACACACACACACACACACACACGAGATGCTCTGGAATTACTAGATAATTTAAAACTTGAATATATAGTGTTTGCTGCCCTTCTTCTGCATGTGGTCAGAAGGACTGAGTAATGTTTTGTGTGTTTTGTCTTTTGGACATTTACAGCTTCACTAAGGAAAAGACAGGACAAATGAAGGAGGAAATTTAAATGCCAGACTCTGGTAGACAACTATCTTCCTTATCTTCAGGTCCTTCTATTGTATTCAGGAAAATGGATTATGGGACAGTTTGAACCCATTTACTCAGAAAAGAGCTGAAATCTCATTAGGGGTCTAGAAAGACCCCATGAAATATCTTTGGGTATTCCAGGATGCCTTGATGCTCTCTCATCTCAAGAGGAAGCTCTGTGATGTGACTTTCTTCATATAAACAAGATTAGACTTACAGGGGCTGGAGTGTATAATGGATGGGGCATATTCTTCGCATTTTTTTAAATTTCCAGACTTAGTACTTGTTTATTTAGATCACCTCACCCATATGGTTTTCTTTCTTCTTCTTTGTTTTTTTTTTTTTTTGAGTTTATCACTGTTACTGTGTTTGGCATATCGAATACATCACGGGTGGCTTGCCAGGCTCTGCCGTGTGGGCAAGATACTCTCGGTAGCTTGCCGGGCTCTCCGAGAGGGGCAGAGGAATCGAACTCAGGTCGGTCATGTTGGCTGCATGCAAGGCAAACGCCCTACCGCTGTGCTATCAGTCTAGTGGAGTTTTTATTATTATTTTTTAAATTTTTATTAGTGAAACACCATGAGGTACAGTTGTAGACTTACAAATTTTTGTGCTTGGGTTTCAGTTATACAATGATCCGGTACTCATCCCTCCACCAGTGCCCATTCTCCATCATTTACATTTTTTAAAAAATTTTTGTTAATGAAACACCATGAGGTACAGTTGTAGACTATTTGGCCAAGCCAGGTTGAATCCCTGGCAACTCATATGCACCCCTGTCACCAAGTCTGTTAGGAGTAAGCTCTGAGCACTCCTGAGTGTGGACCCCAAACCAAACCAAACAAACAAACAAAAAGATTTACTTAGCCCTTCTGAATGAGTAGGTTGTGGATAATTTGCATAATAATTAAATTTGTAGGTTTTTTTTATGTGCAAAATTATATGGTCTGTGTTAGTACCTGAGACTTAGTTGTGAGAATTTTTAAATTACTTATCAGACTATGATTGATCTTTTTTTTTTTTTAAGTCTAACAAAGTGTTAGGGTTGATTGTAAGAAATTTGAGTTATTACCTGAAAAAAAATACTAATGCTTGATTAGCAAGGACTCATTACAGGCGTTAAGTTATGGGTGACAACTAAGCTAGAACAGCTAATATGATTTTAAAAGTCATTTCTGTTTCGGCATAACATATCTAAATTTGAGACGAGTTTTTGTTGTTGTTGTTGTTGTTTTAACATCCCCAACAACTCCCAATGCTTTTTCATTCATTCATTCATTCATCATCCTGTTAATCGTCGATTGCCTCGAGCAGGCCCCAGTAACGTCTCTTTCATCCTAGCCCTGAGATTATATTCAAGGCTTTTTAGGAGAATGGACAAACTTGCAGGCTATCGAATATAGCCTGCCCACAGGGCAGAGTCTGGCAAACTCCCCGTGGTGCACCAAATATGCCAAATACCAGTAACAATGATGGGTCTCATTCTCCCAATGCTTTTAGAACAATTAAATAACCTGTTTCAGATAATGGTGCTGCTGTAATTGATAGTTTAAAAATCACTGAAACTGTTATTTTATAGACTTTTGTTTAAAGTTTTTTGTTCTCACTGCGTTTGACAGTGATAATAAAATGTATAAGGAATATTGTTTTACAGAAGCTAAAAGTAATAAAGGTGACCCTGGGTTCCTTCGCTATCTGTTCCTTCTCACTCATTTGCTTCCCTCTGTTTCTTGGAAAAAGTTGACGGCTTCATGAATTCTGCCAAGAAACACAGTCTGGGGCTCCACTCGGAGTCAGCTGTGATTGGTGAAGGGGAGGACTACTTCCTTTCGCTGTTCGGTCATTCACGGAAAATGCCCGCACACCCGTTATACAACAAGAAGAAGTGGACGCACTTCTCTATGATTCTGGAAGACCTGGGCCAGACTAGACGCAGGTACATAACTCGATACGAACTGTTCAGCTTCCCTTTGAGAGCATATGTCTGTTGGGGTAATAAATTGGACCCAGTGAGTCAGCCGTAAATAAAGCTCCAACGTGTTAGGTCCATGATTTCATCGAAAACCCTAAGCAGTTCTTTGAAATAAAACTCTTTCATGTTCTGAGCAATTAAAAGTAATCAATACAACTCTCCAAGGAACCACACAAGGAATGTTAACTCTTCAAAGATGCCAGAGAAAATAGCACTGCATAATTCCAGCAAAGAGAGTCAGCTTAATTGTTCAAGCACCTTCTCTTATTATTGGCAAATCATTCAAGGGGATGGTTTCTTCTAGTCAGTTCTTTTTTTTTTTTAATTTATTTTGTTTTGGGGCAACACCCAATAGTGCTGGAGGCATGCAAGTTGCTACTTGGCTCAGGGGTCATTCCTGGTGGTGCTCACAGCATCAAGTGGTACACGGGATGGAACCAGGGTCAGTGAGATGTAAAGCAAGTGCCTTGACCCTTTTACTACATCTCCAGCCTCTCTACTAGGTTCTTGACAGGAGAAATGAGGCGTTTCCACACTGGTTTGTTTTTATAATGGTTATTCTCTGTGGTGAAAGAATTGATCCCAAGAAGTTGATTTACAACTAAAATTAGAGCTGTTGCATGTGTATATATTTTTATTTATGTTTGGGCCATAAACAGCAGACTGGACTGTGACTTGTTAGTAATGAACCATCGATAGTGCTTTGCTAGGATAAAGAGGCTGTTAACAGAGCTGAGGTCAGACATGGAGGAGACCTCTCTCTTCTGAAGTCAGATTCCCTAAAATCAGTGCTATTACCAGAAAGCTACAGCAGACACCTAAATGTCCTCTCAAAAAGCAACAAAAAGCACTTATTCAACTTGTGCATTCATTGTCTACCACATTAAAAATAAAAATAATGACTGAGGTACAGTTGTAGACTTACAAGTTGTTGTGCTTGGGTTTCAGTGATACAATGATCGAGTACCCATCCCACCACCAGTGCCCATTCTCCACCACCAATGATCCCAGTATCCCTCCCACCCCCCCATCCCCCATCCCACCCTGCCTCTGTGGCAGGGCACTCCCTTTTATTCTATCTCTCCTTGTGGGTGCTGTGGTCTGCAGAAGAGACACTGGGTGGCAATCATGTTCGGTCCATAGACTACTTTCAGCAGGCATCTCCCATCCTGGGCACATCTTCCCAGCACCCTTTATTTGGTGCTCCCTTCTCTATCTGAGCTGCCTTTACCCCTAGAGTGTGCAGCTGGCCTCTAAGCCATGGAGTGAACAACTTGGTATTTATCACAGCTGTTCTTGGGTGTTAGTCTCTTATTTTGTTACTTTATGTTACTCAGATGAATGCAATCTTTCTATGTCTGTCTCTATGTCTGTCTCTATGTATGTCTCTATGTATGTCTGTCAAATGACTCATTTCATTGAGACCTCCCACCAAAATTTTTTGGTTTTTAGATTTAGGAATAATGACCTGCAGAACTTTCACCCAGATTAATCAGGGAAGAGCTGCAGGTGAAGATTCAGAGCGACAGGTTGAGGATCGGGGCATTCACGGGAAAGACTTATTCCAGTAGGGAGTGATCTGGGCAGATCTGTGAAGGTGTTACCTTTTCCTTTACATTGAAAATAGAATTAAGTCTTGCATATGCAACTTGAAGTCTATAAATGTATTTTCCTCCTGGAGTTCTCAACCTACATAAACAAGCAAGTCATTGCTGGAGCATTGAAGGTCCTGACCTCACCCTTCACCTCTATCTACACCTCTACCTGGAGTTTGATCTTTGTTGTAACTGTGTCTTTCTACATTTGTGTTGTGTGTGTGTGTGTGTGTGTGTGTGTGACTTAGGCATGGTGTTCACAATACCATTAAAAATAGTTTCAGGCTTATGATTTTCCAATTCCAAACTCACCAAAGCTGTTAGTGTGCCTCCACCAATGTCCTAAGACCCCTCTCTAACTGCCCCCTGTGCTTCCTTAGCAAACTCACTTATTTTTAATTTCACTATTATATTGTTCTAGACCCTCATCTAATGTCCTTCTGTTAGTTCCAGTCTGCCTCATCACTCCCCACTCCCTCACTTTCCCCTGTCTTGCCATATTCAGTACTGTAACACAGGGTCAAGGGTTACAATCATTTGATATCTTTCATTCCCTTGTCTTGGTGCTCCAATATATTTCACACATGAGTGAGAATATTTGGTATTTTATCTTCTCCCCCTGACTTATTTTATTCAGCATGATACCCTCCAGATCCATCCAAGTTGCAGAAAACTGCACAATTTCATTTTTTACAGTTTCATAATATTCCATTTTGTACATATACTACAACTTATTGTCTATTCATCTATAACTGGACATCTGGGTTATTTTAAATTATGGCTACTACACTCGCTGTTTCATTGAACATAAGTGAGCATGTATCTTTTCAAATGAATGGTTTCAGGAGTAAATACTCAGAAATGGCTGAATCCTGTGGATACTTTTTTTTTACATACTTTTCCCCATAGATATTGAACCAAATGACAGTGAACAGGGATGATGTTGTTCCACAGCCCTTCCAACACTGATTGTTTCCAGTCCTTTTGATGTTACATTTTGCTTTTCACCTCGTAGTAATTCTAATGCACAGTCAGAGATAAGACTCTTGAGCCTTCCCCAAAATTTGAATCTTTTGAAAGAGTGTGACTTATTTCATAGAGAGGATGTTGTCTATCCTGGTAAGTGTTCTGTCTGCATTAACAAAATCTATGAAGTCTATTGTTGATGTTGAGGATAATGAATGTCCCCCAAGCCAAAACGGCTCATGATGTTAAGTCTGTCCTTGTGCCTAATTTCTATTTGCTTGTTTTCTCATTCATTGAGAAAAAGTGATCAAAACAACTGCCATTGTTGATTTATTTCTCCTTACAGTTCTACCGGTTTCTTAATCGGCAGTTTTTGTATATCGAAGTTTTGTTATTAAATGTACAAACACTTGGCTTTAATAGAGCCTCTTGACAAATTACTTCAATATCATTATGAAATTTTCAATATATTTTATTAATATGTCACCTCTTGGGTTTACTCTTGGCTCTGCATTTAGAGATTATCCCTGGTGACCCTCTGGGGACCACATGGAGTATCAAGGATCAAACCTGGGCTGACCACATGTAAGGCAAGTGGCCTGCCTGCTGTAGTAGCTCTCTGATCCCCAATAGTTTTTGCTTAGAAATCTACATTATTTGATATTAATATAGACACTTGAGCGTTTTAAGAAAACTCAGTTAACATGAAATATATTTTTCTATGCTCTTATATTCAACCTATTTCTTGGAATTTTTCTATCATAAAAGGATGATGAATTTTGACAGATGATTTTCATGGTCTTTGGCTTCTATTATGTTAGTTGGGTATAGCTTTTTTATATTCCAGGAATAAACCCATTTAGCTGTTATGTATTACCCATATAAATTCTACTGGATTTGGTTTCCTGGTATTTAAGAGAGGATTCTTGCATCTATTTTAGGAATCTATTGTCCTGAAGTTTACTTTCATTGGCTTTATTTTTATAGTTTAGTTTATTTCTGTCATGTTTTAAAATCAGTGATGTTAGCTTATAAAATTAACTTAGAGGAGGTCTTCTTTTTCTATTTTTTGGAGGAATTTAAGAAATATTGGTTTTAGTTCCTTAATTTTTCTTCACAAAATTCACCTTGAAATTGGCTACCTGGTACCTTGCTTTTGTTGTAAATTTCTTGATAACGAATTCAATCTCTTTGTTATTGACCTGTTCAGTTTCTTCATTGTTAAGCTTGTGCAGATTGTATGTTTCTAGAAATTTATTATAGGTTATTCACTTTGTTCATTCAATTTGTTTGGAATAATTCAATTTGTTCACAACGATTTCTTACGATTTTTATTTCTGTAAGTTGCTATAATATCTCGTTTCATTTTTGTTTTTCCCTCTTAAGCTAAGGGTTTGCCAATTGTATTTATATTTTCAAAACTCCAGCTATCAGTTTGAATTTTCTATATTTTAGTCTATTTTATTTCTACTTAAAGCTTAGTTTATTCTGCTTTGTTTGAACTTCTGTATTTCTTTTATTTCTAGTTACTTGAGTTTGTAAAATTTAGTTGTCTGTGTTTTGTCTTGTTTTCTGGGGGAAAAAATGCCTCCTGGAGGTTCTCAGGTCTTACTCCTGGAAGACTTAAGGACCGTACTTGGGGCTGGGGATTGAACCTGAGTCAGCGGCATTCAAGTCAAATACCTTTCCCTCTGTACTATTTCTTCAACCCCTTAAACTATTTTTGATTCCATAATTTTTAAATGATTTTAGTTGATTCAAGGCATTTCAAACTTTTGTTTCTTTGATTTTTGAATGGTTTTTCAAGAGTGTCTCACCTAGTTTCGATGTATTTGTGAATCTTCCTGTTCTCTGTGTGTCATTGACTTCTTTTTCCATTCCCCTATGATCCAAGAGAATGCTTGGTGCTGTTCTTAAGCTTGGTGAGTTGTTTTGTGACCTATCCTGGAGGACATATCATGGATTCTTCAGAAGGATGTGTATCCTGCTTCTATCTGGTGGGGCATTATGTATACATTGTAGCAGCTTTGTTCAAGTAAGCCATCTGCCTAACGATTTTGTGTTCTGGGAATTCTATCCATTGTTGAAAATGAGAACACAAAACCAACTGTTGTTACACTGGTCTCTCATATTTACCAGATTTGCTTACGTGCAGTGCTGAGTAGACACACAGATTCACAATGTTTCATCTCCCTGTTGAAGTGAACCCTTTGTCATTATATAACTACTTCCTTTATCTCCAGAAATGGTTTTACGTTTAATGCCTATGTTGTCAATTGTAAGTGTATCCATCTCTGCTTTTTTTGAAATTAGCCTTTGCGTGGAATCTGTTTCCCATCCTTTCCCATTCAATCTGTGTGCCCTTATATCTAAAGGGAGTCTCTTGTCAACTCCTGCAGCCATTTGACTCTTTCACAGTTTAATAGGGAGTTGAAGTCATTTATATTTGAAATTGTTATTACAAGTAAAGACTTAACATTATGTTGATTCTTTCCTAATGCAACTCAACACGTTTTGGGAGGGGAAAGAGTTGGGAAAGGAAGAAACAAAATTGAGACACAAAGAGAATTTTTACTAATTGCCCTTGGGCTTTCTTCTCACATCCAAGACCTTCTCTTGGCTCCGGGATAAGTTCTAGATGCTTCGGGGTGCCTAAGCTTTATTTGGACTGCTGTCTCACCAGTCTCTATCTCTAAAACCAGATAAAATCTAGTGTCAGGATGGTAATAACTTGGGAAGTAAAATGAGTTTCACCATGTCTATGCCCAAACTGCATAGATAGTTTTGATGTAAGACCTCTTGCCATATTAAAAATGTGCTCAATGTCAAAGAACTGATTTGTACTAACTCCTATTTACTCTTCCTTGGATGATTTACTAGCAGGTGGAAGTGATTTATAAACTTCTTAACTTTCCATTTCATCTGTCCTCAAAGTTTGAGTCTGGGGTCTTTTCTCTTGTACTCCCACTGACTGTCACAACCCCTGTCTAAGTTTACTTAAGAAATTGGGAGATCCCATAGGCTGCTTCTTTTCACTAGTGCCCCCCCTCAATACCCCAGCTAAAGAGGGGCCAGCATCTGTGGCTGACGTGTGCTAAAAGAATTGAAGCTCTATAGAGAATTATAGCCACCTACTATCTCATTTTACAGTCTCTGAGTCTTGGCCATTGATGGGATTACACGGATTAAAACTACAATAAAACCCAGCTCCCGGAAGTGCGCAGTCGCATTCGCGGCCACATGACATCTTATTATCTCATTCCTACCTTGGACAAACTGGCAGGCTACCGAATGTAACCTGCCCACATGGCAGAGTCTGGCAAACTCCCCGAGGCATACCCAATCTGCCAAATACCAGTAACAATGATGGGTCTCATTCTCCTAACTCTGAAAGAGCCTTGAATATGGCACTTTTTAAAAAAAAATCTCAGGGCTAGGATGAAGAAGATGTTACTGGGGCCTGCTCGAGGCAATCAACTATCTCGTTACAGATCAAACCGAGGCAGACACTGATGACAGAGTTATCAGAATATCTCAGTACAGTCTAGGAAATCTCAGCAGAGAGAAAGGCATTGTATGTCCCTATCCCACGGAAGGCAAATGGAAAAGCTTCTAGGAAGGAGGTTTGGGTAGCTACCAAAGGTTCTGGCAGAGTAAACCCTTCCTTTGAATTTACATATACTGTAAAATACTTGCTGTAGTTTGGGTCCTTATATCAAATGAAAGGCAAACAAAATTCCGATCTCTGATCTAGACAATGTTCTTTGCTGTGGATGAAAGCTAATTTATTCCATGTGCATAAAATTTTAAGAAAGTAAATCACTGAACAGCTCACTTGAATAATGAAAGATGTTTGAAAAGCAACTATAAATCTTCATTTGCATATGTGATGACAAAGGGACCATAGCTAGGCGAGTCTTGGCTATTTCTTTACAGGTAATGATCAAAGCAGTCTTCATTTCCCAGGTAGAAAAAGCAACTCTGGGGCTAGAGAGATGATAAAACAGATGCTTTAACAGGAAAATCTGTTTCTAAGCTTTCTTGAGTTTTTGGTCAAATTCTGTTCCGTTTGGTAATCAGACTGGGGTCCCCATTTCCTTGCTGACAGCTGATAGCCAACATTTGTATCTACTGGCTCCCTCTGGTCCTGGCATGTGACCCCCACTAGTGCCCAGGGCTCACATCTGTTCGGTAATGAGCATTACCATGCTCAGATGCTCTTGAAATCCCCTCCTCCTTCCAGTTCCAGCTGGAATAAAAAATTCTCTGAGTTTCAGGATACATGTGATGTGATTGGACGCACATAAATCACCCTGGATAGTCTCTGTGTCTTAATATTCATATCTTTATGTCCACAACATGCATTTTTTCATGTAACATCCCTTATGCACAGGGCCCAGGTGTTAGAGCCTAGACCTCTATGCAAACCATTCTGCCTAACACAAAGCATTTAATTCAAACAGTCAACACTCAGTGAAAAAAATAAAATGAGCAAAGTCATATCCAGCCAAAAATCAAGACTTAATATTAAGAAATAGAAATGCTGGGGCTGGAGCAATAGCACAGCGGGTAGAGTGTTTGCTCTGCGTGCGGCTGACCCAAGTTCGATTTCCAGCATCCCATATGGTCCCCTGAGCACCGCCAGGAGTAATTCCTGAAAGAGCCAGGAGTGGCCCCTGTGCATCGCCGGGTGTGACCCAAAAGAAATAGAAATGCAAATTGACATAGAATCAACAGCTAGATCATGAGGAAGAATAAAAAGCCTTAGAATATTCAGAAACAATAATAGTCCAAGGTGATATTCCAAATCAGCAGGAAGATGGTGACTATGTTAGCATAGTTAAGAAAATGAGCTCTTTTTGTGAAGAATACATCCTGTGTGCACAAACTAAGGCAATGAAAAGCAAATCCTTGAAATGTTTAGAAGAAAATAAAATATGAAAGTAGGAAACAGTTTCTTAAATAGGACAGCAAAAAATTGTAAAGGAGAAAAAGAATCCATTTCACCCAGTGAAATCATAGTTTACATCTCTGTATTGTAAGATATAAAGATGCAGTTTAAATATTTTTCTTTCTAAAATACACACACGTAGGTAGGGGTGGAGAGACAGTATGCAGGTTAAGGAGTTTGCCTTACATGTTGACCCCTGTTCAATCCCTGGCACCACATGTAGTCCCCCAAGCACAGAGCCAAGGAGTAAATCCAGAAAAAAAAATTAACTAAAAAAAATTTTAATTGGGGAAAAAGAAGACTAAAAAGTAGAACACATGACTTGCTGTAGAAGGGAAACAGTTCCACAAACAGGATCTACCCAGCTGAGGCAAACAGCACAGACACAGAAAGAATAGGATGTTTTTACCCCTCCAAAGGCAAAGGTCTAAAGTCATTCTGGTCTAGAGTAGACTAATGGCAGTGGGAAGGGCTAAGGGGGGCTGGGGGGAGGGAGGGCAGACCTAGTGGCAAATTTAGGAATCGGCTAATTACTGGTCATCCCTTAACATGTGACATGCTAACTGGAAGTCACCTATCACCCTGTGTTTTACTTCCTAGTGCTCTTGGAGACGTTAAAATAGCTGAAGTGAATAACAAGGGTTTATTTGTGAAGCTCGTGAACTCTTCCCTAGATAAAGAACTGGAAATTGGAAGTCATATTCTCCAGCAAAAAGTGAAAGGACAGACAGTCTCTCTCTACCAGTTCATTCCCAATGTCATCATGCAGGCCCAGGCCACCGTCACGGTGAGTGGGAAGGGGGGGGTGGCTGACAGGTGGAACAGGAGCTGGCCTTGGTGCCCGTCTCCTCATGCTTGCTCTCTATGTCGAATGCGGTTTTCTGTGGAAGTGGTTCATCCAGCCCATCCAGGCGCCTTGCCCTTCACGGATGAGTCCTGAGTCTCCCATTACCTCTTTCAGTTTGTGCGCAACACCTTTAGTTGTAATGATTTGACTATTAAGAGAAACTATTTAGGAACTGAGTTCCTAAAATGAAGCAAAGCAAACATCCATGGTTCGCTTAGAGCAAGACCATCTCTTGCCACGGGAGGTTTCTCCTCTCTCATTAGACCCCGTCCAATTGCACACAGCCTGGTGCCATGTTCCCAGCCTCATCCTCGAGAGCCTTTGGTGCTCAGGGGCACACGTTGTAGTGACTCTCTGTGACAGACAATTTCCCCACAGGTGTGGGCAGCAGCCTCAGAAGCCCATCACCAGCCACCTTCGGACTTTCTGTGGAAGGAGCAAGAGACGTTCAGAACAAGCCCAAACTGCACAACCATCCTGTGTCAACCGAACGGTGAAGTTAGTGTCCAGCTCTCAAGAGTGGCGTGTAGAGAGAGAGCAGGCAATGTTCCTGTAGCTTTCCCTCTTCTCAGGGCGCTCACTGGCTCAGGTCTCCAGCCTTCAAACTCCTGAGCACTGGGGCTTCATGACCCGCTGGACTTGGCCAGGCCAGTCAACCCCACCCGCTAGCCCCGATCAAAGACCTCCCCCAGCTGGGGAAAGAAAAGTCCATGTTTCTAAGAAATTGCTTCGACTTTCAGAGTCCAAAATGAATTTTGCTTATACCTAGCTTGAAGAATGGAATGAGAAAAATCATGTGTGTGGATCTTCTTCTTCTTCTTCCTCCTCCTCCTCCTCCTCTTCCTTCTCCCCACGCCCCCCAGCTCCCTCTCAGCAGCTGTCTCTCGTCTGAGGGTTGCAGGAAGCTCTATCTCTAGGCTGCGTCTAACCTGGTCTCTGCACTCGCCCGCACACATGCTAATGAAAGCCCTTGGGTCTAATTTGGTCTAATTCTCTTCCACATAAAAATCAGGGCACTGGGAATAATTCTGGGTAACTCATTCCCAATATTGGCAATTTCATCTTGTGACTCTGCTTTCTCCTTGCTGTAATATTCCCCAGGACACACCAGTAAATTTTAAAGGTGTCTCTTGCCACTATAACAACAACAAAATGTTAGTCCTCTTCCAAAATCATTCTATTTTCCCTTTAGTATCTGTCTTCTTGTCTTACTGCCAATCGAAACAACTCAAAATCATTACTCCACACAATAAACTGGCCCGAGTCTTCAAACTGTGTGCCTGAGTTTAGCAAGCTACGTAGATCTGTTCCTTAGAACACTTGCTAATAAATCCAAAGATGTTTGACATCTTTCTGCATCTTCCTGGAAGTGGTTGTCACTGTGTAAGGAGGGCTCCCATTAGATAGAATTCCAAGCCTTCACTAACTTGCTTTATTTTGGTGAACTCACACTAAATTTTATATCACTTCCGATCATTTTCACTGGTAGAGAAAAGACCCCTGCTCAACCTCTGAGGAAAACCCAGGTGAGAATTCATGTCCAAAACCCTGCTTTGGACATCTGACCACCTTTGGGCCCCCATTTCCCTTCTCAGCAAACATGTTCAAAGCTTCTACTTTGATGCACAGTCCCAGGTTCTGTGCACGGATCAGAGAGAGGAACCCTGAGCTGCTGGCTGGGCATTTTAATAAACTGTCGCTCCCTGTAACTCAATTATATTTTGAGTTATACTGGACCTTTCCATGAGGGGGTTCACCCCATTATGCTATTTCTGCCAGGTGAGAAGAGCGTGAATCAATTTGTTTGCTGTTGCGATCATAGCTGATGGACCATGGCTGTACTATGAGAAACTCCTGCTCTTAGGACACCCCCAAGTAGAAATTGTTACTTATCAATAAATAATTGTGTTATAGGGAAGCGATGCTTTAATAGAAATAGATGTCTAGGGGCTGGCGTGATAGCACAGCGGAGAGGGCATTTGCCTTGCATGCGGCCGACCCGAGTTTGATTCCCAGCATCCCATATGGTTCCCTGAGCACTGCCAGGAGTAATTACTGAGTGCAAAACCAGGAGTAACCCCTGATCATTGCCAGGTGTGACTCAAAAAGCAAAAAATAAAAATAAAAAATAAATAGATGTCTAGCTCCTTGGCCCATCAGAGATGTGCATTCTGGAAAGCGAACCCCCAGGTAAACTTCAGAGAGGAGATACTAGTTCTGAACCTGCAGAAGTAGAGGGTGCTCTGCCAATTGGCCCAACCCCCACTGGTCTTTCCCCATCCAGCTTGCCAACAAATTTCAGTAGTATTTGATCCCCTAATTCCAGTAGTATTTAATACCGATAAATCTTTTATTTTAAGGCTGTCGCCTGGTACACTCCTGTTCACTGGCAACAAGCATGGGAGAAATTAGAGACAGACATTGACTTTGATAGAAACTTAAGATCAAATGCGACGTCCAAAAGACGCATATTTCAGTGGCCCAAAGTTGCAGGTATTGTTTCCAGAGAAACAGAAGATTGGTGTGAGAAATCCTCTGTGATGTGTCAGGTGAAACAGATGACTCAGATTTCTCTTATGAGGTAAATGTTGTTTGTATAATGATTATGAGCTATAGTTTGGAGTTGGGGGTGTTATTTTGCTTTGGGTTTTTGTTGTTGTTTGTTTGTTCTGTTATGGGTAGTGAGCAGGAAAATGACTGGATAACAATAGTTGTGTGAAAGGAAGGGAAATGAATGATGATCCAAAACCCTCATTTTGGAAGGACTATGAAAACCTTCAAAGAAGGGAGACACTCCCCTGACCATAAAGCCAGGAGCCAGTGAGCCCGCTGACCACTGGCCTGGTTTGGGGGTGCTGAGGGTACAGAGAGGGGCACCTTGCTGTGGAACTTTGTGTGGGTCAGGAGCTGGTTGTGGAGGAGGGGGATCTGAGAGCTGCCTGGGGGCCTGGCAGAATCAGACTCTTAGAGCGGGCTTCCACCTTGAGGCCTCTTCCTGACTCGTGTGTCCACAGCAAAGGTCTTCTGGAAACGTGAGCTCGTCTTTCTTCCACAGGGAACAGGAGACCCCGCCACTGCTGTTTCCCCACAGCAGCCCTTGGTGCCACAGTTGCAGCTGCGCGCCACACCCCTACTGTTCCCTGATAGAGTGTGATGAGGATTCTGGGAAACAGGCCCACAGATAGGCCAGGCCTCACTTCGCCGGGTCTGAGGGAGCCAGCCCTGAGCCAGCCCAGGTGAGTGGAAGGAAGCAGACGCAGCGGCGAGCACGGGTCCCTGCTGGTGTTGGCCTATGTGCCTGTGTGTGAGTCTGCATGCCTGTGTGTGCACTTGGGTCTGTATGTGTGTCAGCGTCTGTACACGTGTGTGTGTGTGTGTGTGTGCTCATGTGAGTCTGTTCAGGGTGTATATGTAGGTGTGTCTGTATTTATGTAGATGTGTGTACTTGTTTGTGCATGTCTGTGTACCTGTGCAGGTGTGTATGTGTGTGCTTGCATATGGGTATGTGTGTATGCATCTGTGTGCGCACATGTCCATATGTTTGTGCTCATATGTGTATGCTATGTATGTATGTTGAGAAATGAGGAAAATCTGCTGGGTATTAAAAATGTTTTCTCACTCCCAAGAATAGGTTCTAAAGCAGGTATTGTAACACCATTCACTGCTATTTCTCAGTGAACTTTGCCTCTTTGTAGTGCTGCAAAAGAAACCGGTGGCCAGTAAGACTCTGGGACTCCTGGAGTTTGGTCAAAAGTAAAGCTTGTTGCCCACAGTCTCCCCTGAACACATTCTACACCTCTCTCTCTTTCTCTCTCTCTTTTCCTCTCTCTCTCTTTCTGTCTCTATCTCTTTCTCTGTCTCTCTCTCTCCTCTCTCCCCCCCACTCTCACATTTCTCTGAATTTCTTTCAATGAAAGATTTTTGCTTCACTAAAATACAGTTTTCATTTCATTAGGCAGGAAAATTGGCCATCGCGTTATTCTGTGCTAAAAAATCCCCACCTTTCCCAAGCACATCCTACTGTTGATCTCAAATTCTTGCTCTTTCTTTCCAGGAGTGTCTCAGTTAAGACCTTTAAGTAAAGTATTTAGAGTTAGGGTTATTCGCTCAGGATCTGTGGATGGCTGTCAGGGAATCTGGTACAAAATGTATGCCAGTGTGTTTCTGGAAAATGTTCCCAGGGCTCTCAGCTGACCGCATGTTTCAGGAGGGTTGATTCCAGTGGGGCAGCGGCGGGGGGTGGGGGGGTGGGGGGGAGCAGGGACCAGACAGCAGCTGCCGTGGGTGACATGCTCATGGTCTGCAACCTTCTCTTTGGGGGAGGGATGCTTCCAGTGGGGGAGTGGGGAAACTCCCAAGAGGTACTTAGGAGACCCAGGGGCCCCACTGGTGATTCTCAGCCAGCCAGGCTATGGTTTGGAACCAGGTGTTGCTGGGATCCTGGGCACATACTTGGCACTAATCACTGGGCTAACCCAGCCCCCAGGATTACCTCTTTCATCGAAAACTTTGGTTGGCATATAAAATGAATAAACATACATCTATCTAGTTTGAAGAAGTGGGGGGATGAGCCCCACTGCTCGTGAGGCACCTTCTTCCATCACTCCTTCCTGCCCCTTGGCCATCGCTGTGACCTGTGGGAACCAGAATGAAAGCTACTGCACTGACACATTGTTGGAAAATACCCTCTCCCCAAAATCATTCTTTTTAGAGGTGGATGATGGGGCCAGGAAGTCACTCAAAGGGCTGGAGTTCACGTCTTACAGCTGAGAGTTCCAGGTTTAGTGCTCCGTACCACATGGCTCACGGGCATCCTCGGGAGCACCCCACACCCCCAACCCAGGAGGAGTCACTTGGCACTGATGGGCATGGCCCCCAAATTAAACAGGACAGAACCGTAGGACTAAATGGAAAGTTTGTAAATTCTTGAGTCCATTTTATGTCATAGGATTAAGTCATGAATAGATTACTGCCTGAGTTTCTTCCTCTGCAAAGCTAGAGACTTGCTGGACCATTTGTGAATGTGGGTTTCGTTCTTGAAGAATCTCTACAGAGGCTGCCCCAGTTTCAAGCTTCCAACGGTAGAGCATCGGGACGTCTTTTCCTCCCTGCCCTTGAGTTCTGTTCTTTGAAACACGGCATCCTCTCTGGTGTGAGGCAGCCAATGCCTCGAGTTCTGAGCTGCCTTTCCCAAATGTCAGCGAACCCCTATTTCTGCGTGTTGGCGGGCTACGTCTGTCCAGTTTTTCTTGCCCGTCTTAACAATTGGGTTGCTTGTTGGTATTTTTTGGTGTTGAGTTGTATGACCTTTTGATGTATATCTCAAGTATCATCCCTTGTCAGATGATTGAGTTACATATATTTTATCCTGTTCAATAGGATGTCTTTTTATTTTGATGATGTTTTCTTTGGTGGTGCGTTATTTTGGGTTTGATACCAGACCGTTTGTTGTGTGTTTTTGCTTTTGTTCCCTTGCCTTTGAGTCTCCACAGACTTCTCTGAGGCTGATGTCATGAAGCATATTGTTTCGGTTTTGGTGTGACATGCAAGTATTGAATCCATTTTGAATTAATATAAGTATGTGGCACTAGGTGTGGTTTCACTGTTTTGTATATGTCTGTGTCTTCCCAGAACCTTTTGCATACTCCCTTGTGTGTTCTTGACTGCTTTGATATAGATTGTCCTCATATGTGTTACGTTATTTCTGAGCTCAATATTCCATTGGTCTTTGTGTCACCTTTTATTCCAATGTCACACTATTTTGATGATTATCCTTTTGTCACCTGGTTTGAAACCACAGGGTATCATGCCTTCGTCCTTTCTCTCAAAATTTGTTTGGCTTTTAGGGGTTATTTGTGATTTCATATGTTTTAGTAATTTTTTTTGTTTTTTGTTTGAGGACCATATCTGGCAATGCTCATGGGTTTCCTCTTGTCTCTGAACCCAGGAATTACTCCTGACAGTGCTTGGGGGAGCTCTGTGGAATGCCAGGGATCCAGTCAGCCTTGTTCAAGGCAAGCACCTTACCCATTGTACTAGCCTCCTAAATTTTAATAGCATTTATTCTATTTTCCTTGAAGAATGTCATTGGAATTTTGACAGCAATGGCAGTAAATATGTTCATTGCTTTGGGTAAAATGACCATTTAATAGAGCTAATTCTTCCATTCCAGGAATCAGAGTAACTTTTTTTTCTCCAAACTGGGACCACGCCCACAGATGCTCAGCCCAGTGGTGTGTGTGTGTGTGGCCCAGTGGTGTGTGTGTGGGGGGGGAGGGGCCTGGAATTCTGGAATCAAACCCGTCTTCCCACACGCAAAGCATGGCCTGTGAGCCAGCTCCCCCTCCCACCTCAGCTGCTGAGGTGGGGTGTTGCACACTTCCAGGGGGTCCCCGCCCCAGATTCCACGATACCCTTGGACGCTTGTCCAGCTGCAATGGACTCCTGTGGGTGGGGGGGAACTACTATAACCATGGGAATGGAAATGTTCCCTTGTTTTAACAGTTGGCCTACTTGAAACTAAGTCAAACTAGAGCACAGATGATGTGATTCTGCAGGAACAGGACATTTAAACCTCATCAATGTAAGCTCCTACGTCAGGATCACACGTAGGGAACTACGAGGTTTGACTTTGCTCAGACTGTGGATGGTTACTCACCATAGTTCAACAGATCTGCCTCAGCTCTGCTTCCTCATCCTCCCCCATGAGATTATTTGGAAATCTAATTCATGATGGAAACAAAGGGGGAAAAATAAGTTTAAAAGAAATGTCCTTTGTGTCACCTTCATGTTTGGTATTCTGTTTATTGATGTTTCCATCTGTATTGCATTGGTCAATTGAGAATTCAGAGTAACCAATAACAAGTTAGCATTATGTATATTATGGACTGCCAGAATCAGTCGATAATATAACTAGAACATGTGAGTTGATACATAGAAAAATTTTAACAAAAAGCCTGACTGCCCTGCAGAAGAAAACAGACATTTACTTGAATCGCATATGAACAGATGGCTTAATAAGTCTAATTACTTGAAAGAAAGCTAGAAAGAAGGATTTCTCCCCATGTTTATTGCCAAATACTAGCATAAAAAGTAAGCAATTTCTTATAAAGGAAAATTATGTTACATGTTGTATTCTAGGGGAATTATTTTTCTGTTGCTTACTTTCAGAAAATTTAGATTGTATTATCACCAAATTCCTGCAGGACTTTTTTTGAAAAATTATGGACAAATGAGAACCACTTAAGTAACTCTTCTTACAGCTGAAATAAATGCCTTTTTAATGAACAGACAAAGAATACCAAGATATTAGTTCTAAGATCAGACTGATTGCATAACTTCAGGATTAGATTTTTCACTTCAAAAACGTTTCAACATTATAAAACAAAAGTATTTTTAATTAATTTTCCTTTCATTATAAACAATTATGAACTTTGTTTGGAAATACACGTCATTTCATCACTCACTGTCACTGTCCTCCCGTTGTTCATCGATTTGCTCGAGCAGGCCCAGTAACGTCTCCATTGGAGACTTTGTTGTTACTGTGTCTGGCATATCATCACATAAGTAAAATATATATGTGCGCGCGCGCGCACACACACACACACACACACATCAGGAAACCAGTGTGCAGCTTAAATCATGGGTGCCAAATGTTTCTGTTTCAAATAAACCAAAAAAGTGCCATCATCTCCAGAAACTGATGTAAAAAACATTACTATGAATAATCCTACTATTAAATTCTAAAAACAGTGAGGTAAGAATTTTCTAGACAGGCTTTTGCCTCTAAGATACTGGACTTAGCTCAAATGCAGGCTGGTGGGTGCATTGCGCAACTGGGATCCTCAGACTAGTGAGTCTGGGAGAACGTGTATAAAATATTCACAAGGTCTGTTTCCTGCAAACAAATTGTTCCAGAGAACCAGCAGCGAGGAGCTAGATCCTTCTTTGCATCTCAGCCTCTGTCCATGGGCAGGAAAATACCTTGGAGTCTACTTAGGTCCCAGGTCCCTAACTTCCTCTTTGATGTGCCCAGTCGAATTCCCAGACGGTGCTAGCAAGAAACAGACTGCAGTGGGATCCTGCAGGGCCCGCCTTGTTTCTCTCCCTCCAAGCTGGCTTTGTAACTCATCCTTCTTCTCCCTTTGCAGAGAACCACGAAGGGCTGGGCGTGACTCAGGCGCCA